CGCCAGTAGGTGGCAGCAAGTCACTGTTAACAAGTGAGTCGTTGCGATTGAACCAAATCATTTAAACGGTTGATTCGTTCAGGAACAAATCACCGTCATGTTGCTCAGAGACGCAAAACTGTTCTGTGGTGGCTGTTTGGAATTATTTTTGGTTGGCGAAATAGAGCAAAAACAGGCAATATGGTGTCTAAAACGTCAGTGTCTTAATATTAACTTATCGTTTATTGAACTATTGTCTAAAATCAGTATCACATTTGTAATCATGCTTATTTTTTAAGAAAAAAAACGGCACTCTTCGTGTGATTTTAACTATATGAAATGATATAAATATGTACATTTTCTGCCCCCATATCTTGAATTTTGTGATCTTTCTTAATGCATTTTAATAGACTGAATCATGCAGTGAAAGAACACTCTCTAAACGCGCACGTGTACTGTTTAACCCACTAGACTTCATCATGCACTCCGTAGGTGTTTTGTTTTATTTTTGCAAAATACTCGATAATGTCAAATTGCACATCGTTAAAACAACAATTACGATATTATCGCAGACGATATATATCGCACACCCCTATTTGCAACATGCCAACTTATTCTACTGACCCTAACTGTAACCTAACTGTCTCTAATTCTCTAATGAGAGTGAGTTAAGTTAGTTACAAAGTTACTTATAGTTAGTAGAATGTCTAAAGTGGAATATTGAAATACTGAGTGTTAAAATAGCATAGCAAAGTTCAAATTTAATGAAAACTATTTCAGTTCATATGAAGATGTCTTATTTTAGTATTGAGATGCTGTTATATTATAGTTTTTAGTATTTTTTTATTTTTATTCATTAATGTTTAGTTTTTTAGTTTTAATGTTTATAATGTTATGAAAAAAGTTACAATAAAATAAATTTAAGCCTTATTTTATTATTCTTTAATTTATTAGTAACGCTTTAAAATAATGCGTTAACTAGCATTAACTGACAATGAGCAATGCATTTGTTACAGTATTTATCAATATTTGTTAGCATTAGTTAATAAAAATACAACTGTTCTTTGTTAGTTCCCGTTAACTCAGGTCCATTAAATAATATGAACGGATACAACTTGATTTTAATCAGATGATTAACATTAACTGATGTAGTTAAAGCGTAAAGTGTTGTTTTTTATATATATATGGTTTTAGTTTTAGTTAAAGGGATAGTTCACTCAAAAATGAAAGTTTTGTCAACTTTTACTCACACAAAAGAAGTTGTTTTAAAGAATGTCAGTAACCAAAGAGTTGACAGTAGCCATTGACTTTCATAGTGTGGAAGAAAAATTAATAATAATAATATGACAGTCAATGGCTACCGTCTACTGTTTGGTTATAAACATTCTTCAAAATATCTTCTTTTGTGTTCAACAGAAGAAACAAACTCATTCAGGTTTGAAGTAACTTGAGTGCGAGTAAATGATGACAGAATTTTCATCTTTTGGTGAACTATCCCTTTAATTCTAATAACCCTGACTGAGATCTCTGACGCTTGATCGCAGGGTTTGTGTGGCTGCTGGTGTTTGATGACGCTGTGTTTGTTTGCTCTCAGAGAAGCTGACGTTCCTCGAGGTGAAGACGCCGCAGGAGTTTCGTCAGAGCGAGGACGCTGAGGTCGTCTGTGATGTCATCAGTTCACCGGTGCCAGTCGTCTCATGGTTCTACAAGAACCGAGAAATCACGTCTGAACCCAACAGTAAGAACACTCACAATTCACATACACACTCATATATGTGACCCTGGACCACAAAACCAGTCTAAAGTGTCAATTTTTCAAAATTGAGATTTATACGTCATATGAAAGCTGAATTGAAAGATTTCCATTGATGTATGGTTTGTTAGGATCGGACCATATTTGGCCGAGATACAACTATTTGAAAATCTGGAATCTGAGGGTGCAAAAAAATCTAAATATTGAGAAAATCATCTTTAAAGTTGTCCAAATGAAGTTCTTAGCAATGCATATTACTAATCAAAAATTAAGTTTTGATATATTTACAGTAGGAGATTTACAAAATATCTTCATGGAACATGATCTTTACTTAATATCCTAATGATTTTTGGCATAAAAGAGAAATGGATAATTTTGACCCATACAATGTATTGTTGGCTATTGCTACAAATATACCTGTGCTACTTAAGACTGCTTTTGTGCTCCAGAGTCACATATTCATATACAACACGGTACTCCAGAGTATCAGAATATCATGTAATTACTGTGGTACATGTTCAAAAAAAAAAAACATGCTAAATAAATCATATTTCTCCATTAATTTAACTCAACAAATTATTTTAACCAATTTCAACTTAATTTTTTAAGTGATTCCAGATTCAACTTGATTATTTAAGTCTGTTTAATGCCATTGAAGTTAAAACGACTTGTACAGCCAATTTGATTATACTTTAAAAAAAAAAAAATAATAATAATAATAATAAATAAGGCACAAACCTTACTTTTTTAAGTTGAAGTGGAATTTTAATTTAATTTTGAATTTTTTTTTAAGTGTGCTGTGGTACTTTTTGATGCTGTTTTGTTTTTGATTGTTAATTCTTTGTAATTGCAGTCCAGATATTGTATTTCGGTTCATCTCTTGGGATTTTTGCATTAGTAAATTTTCTGCTTATTTTGATATTGTAAGAACATTGTATTTTTTCCTCAGAATTGGATTTTATAACTCGCTTTCATTCATTTAAAAAATTCAGAAGCAAAAAATATATTTAAAAAATATTAAATATTGTGAATGCCCATCTTAATTTAATATATTTCATTATATTTTTTAAAATATATTAAATTATTATATTTTATTATATGACATGATTAATATATTTTATCACATTATATGATTATTATCATATTTTTAAATATGATGCTTTCATTATAAATATGGTGATTATCTCTAAGGTAGGCATCCAACTTAATGTATTATATTTACCATCTGAATCTAACCATGTTTTATCAGCAAATGGAAAAGTCATCCAGCTATTTATGTAAATTAAATATGTTAGACATGTTAATTATTGTGCTTTTAACCTCAGCAGCAGGGGACTTTTGACCCCAAATACCACACTTTTACATATTCTTCTGTTATTGAAAAACATCCACTAAAAACCACAAATAATTTAATGCGTTTTGGATTAAACCACATTAAGTGTCTGAATTCAGTAAAGTTCTCTGCTGAGGGAATAAAAACTTCCGCCTACATTTTAGGTGTCAAACCATTAATTAGAATTCAAAGGCAGAACTTGGACAAGCTATCTGCACTTTCCAGCCTGGGAGATTAAAAGATGGAGATTTTGATTATTTTTATTCTAATTACAGAGTCGGTTATGAATATCTCTCCTGAACGAGAGGAGAAAAGGTGTGTTTATCAGCGAGGGACGACAAAAGCCAAAGAAAGGCTGTAATCTGAAAGGTGTTTCATTTAGCAAATGTCCTTGAAATGGAAGCAGAAGTAGTTTTGAGGATTGATGATAATATTTTCCTATTATTGCCCACAGATGAAAAATGAGTCTGTTGATTAAATCCTCCGCTTTCTTCTTTCTCACAGCACACAGGACTATATTTCTGTCAAATGCTTTAAATGTAACACAATGACTTTAAGTTCACTTAGAAACCTTTGCCTGGTGGTAAGGAACACCTTAGCAACAGCCTAGCAACCGTCCAAAACACCCTAACAGCTGCATGGCAACACACAAACAAACACTCAGAACACCCTAGCAACTACATAGCAACACACAAGCAACCACCTGGAACACCACAGTGACTGCTTAGCAGCACACTGGCAAACATTCTGAACATTGTAGCAACTGCATAGCAACACATTTGCAAACAATCACTCTCAATACACCATAAGAAATAGCTGATAACAATGCTCAGAAAACTGTAGCAACTGCATTGCAACACATTTGAGATTGCACATCAACACATTGGCAAACATTCAGAATACCGTAGCATAGCAACATGTATCCAAACACTCAAAACAACCTAGCAACTGCATAGAAACACACTAGCAACCAACTGAAAGCACACCAGCAACTGTATAGCAGCATGTTGGCAAACATATAGAACACTGTAGCAACTGCATAACAACACACTAGCAACCACCTGGAGTACCCTAACAGCTGATAACAACACTCAGAACGCTGTAGCAGCTGCATAGCAACACATTTGAGATTGCACATCAACACATTGGCAAACATTCAGAACACCGTAGCAACTGTATAGCAACGTGTATCCAAACACTCAAAACAACCTAGCAACTGCATAAAAACACACTAACAACCAACTGAAAGCATGCCAGCAACTGTAAAACAACATGTTGCCTAACAATCAGGGCACCCTAGTAAATATACAGCAACATATTAGCAACTACCTGGAACACCCCAGTGACTGCATAGCAACACACTGGCAAACATTCAGAACACTGTAGCATCTGAATAGCAGCATGTTTGCAAACACTCAAACCCCCCTAGCAGCTGCATAGCAACACATTAGCAACCACCTGAAAACACACCAGCAACTGTACAGTATAGCAGCATGTTGGCAAACATATAGAACGCCCTAGCAACTGCATATCAACACACTAGCAACCACCTGGAGCACCCTAGTAACCACATAGCAACATATTAACAATTACCTGCATAGCAACACACTGGAAAACATTCAGGACACTGTAGTAACTTCAGAACACTCAGAATATTCTAGTAACTGAATAGCAACACACTAGCAACCAACTGGAACCAAAACACGACTGCGTAACAACAAGTTGACAGACACTTAGGACATCCTAGTGACTGCATAGCAACCTTTTGCCAAACATCAGAACACCCCAGTAACTGCATAGCAACACACTAGCAACCACCTGGAACACCACAGTGACTGCCTAGCAACCCACTGGGAAACATTCTGAACACTGTAGCAACTGCAGAACACTCACAACACCCTAGTAACTGTATAGCAACACACTAGCAACCAACTGGAACTCACTGACTGCATAGCAACGCAAACAATCAGAACACAGCAGCAACTGCATAGCAACATTTTTGCAAACGCTCAAAACACCCTAGCAGTGCCATAGCAACACACTAGCAACCATTTGGAACTCCCTAGCAACTGTAGAATAGCATAGCACAGTCTCACAGAGCTGTAACGTCTGTGTTTGTGTGTCTTCCTGAAGGCAGACTTCAGGTGCTTCCCAGCAACAACCTGCAGATCCTGCGAGTGAGTAAAGCTGACGAGGGAGTGTACCGCTGTGAGGCGCGTGTGGAGGCTCGAGGAGAAATCGACTTCAGGGACATCGTGGTGCTGGTCAACGGTAAGCGCTGTTCTTCACACACTTCCTCACTGATCTCTGAACAGCTTAATAAGCGTACAGCGCTCCACTGTCACAGACTGACCAGCCACCCCTTTACCAACTCACTTAATAACAATAAGATGAAATATCATAACACTGATAGAATAAGATGAGTTTTCTCATGGTATCCGTGGGATCGATCGATTGATCTATCTATCTATCTATCTATCTATCTATATGAAATATCATAACACTGATAGAATAAGATGAGTTTTCTCATGGTATCCGTGGGATCGATCGATTGATCTATCTATCTATCTATCTATCTATCTATCTACCTGTCTGTCATTATTATTATTTTTATGATTTTGGCTGTTGATGCAAAAACATGCATTTTGTTAAAAAAATGATATTTTTATTGGAATTGTAATATTTCACCCTAATTTTATTTAATAAGTCTATTTTACACTAGATAAAATAAATGGTTACACTCAGGACCTTTAGGACAAAAATGTCCAAATTGAAACCCATTAAAACCACAATATTTAATCCTAGTGCCATTTAAGCATAAAATTATATAGAAACACTTTGTTAATAGGCTAAGATTCAGCTGGCAATGCTTTAACATTTTTTTTTTTTTTACTATTTTTAAATGTAACACTTTTAAATTCAAATTGAACATTTTTACTATTTTTCAATTTAACATTTTTTAAATGTCACATTTTTACTCATTTTAATTGTAACATTTTTAACATTTAAATGTAACTTTTTAAATTCAAATTTCACATTTTTACTATTTTTAAATGTAACATTTTTACTGTTTTTAATTGCAACATTTTAAAAATGTAAATAAAGGTTTTTTTAATATATTTTTAAATGTCACATTTTTTAAAATTTAACTTTTTTAAATATTTTTTGAATGTAATTTTTTTTTAATTTAAATGTAACTTTTTTACTATTTTTAAATGTTACTTTTTACATTTTTAATTCAACATGTACTATTTTTTAAATGAATCAGTGCTGATGCTGTAAATTAATTTAGTGAAACAACTGTTGTAATAGTTGCACTCTAAAATCCATCTGAGAAGTTGCATATGTAAATCTTGTTGCCAAACAAAGCACATCACTTGAATAACTTAATTGCCAATCATAATTCTCTCAAAAGGCCTCTAGAATCTGTGTCCTTACTAGAAGAACAGTGATCCAAACGAGCCTCAAACAGATGGCGCGCATATGCAACATGACCGTGTTAACTCAAGATGGAAGGTCAAAGCAGAACGAGGCGTTTCATTACAGCAGCGGATGGCGTTCCAACACACCGCTATGATCCGCTGCAGCTCAGCCAAGGCTGGGAATAAATCTAGGGGAACATGCTGGATGCAATCTCCAGTCTTGGACACGTTACCCAGGCGTCGTCGCTTGCTAGTCAGCGTTTGCTAAGTGATTTAAGCAGCAGGTTGTTCTGTTTCCGAGGCAGACGGCACTTGCCATGTCTTGGGGATAATAGGACGCGCCTCATTGAGCGAACTTATTGGATCTTCCTGAAAGCTATAAGTGGTGATGCTAAATTGAATGCAATGCACTTTTATTCGTCTTTGCGTGTTATTACATCAGTTTAAAGAAGTATGAGTTGTGCAAATACTATTGTGTCCGTTCAGGCAGAGCTTGGTGCTATCAAATCCTGACGACGGCTCATTCTGCAGAACAAGGTAAATGAATGCGCTGAAAAGACGGGCGGCGTTTCGTGAAGCGTTAGTGAAGATAAGGTCGCCGTTTGCTTGTGAGTCACAGAAGCTTGAAGTTTATGTTAATTGAAACATTTAGTCACAAATCTAGTCAGCAGAAAATTGAGTGCAAAGATGCTGAGTTGATAAACTACATGTGGATTTGAGATGCCAAACGCCCATTTTAGTTTGAATGTGAAAAGACTAGCATTTTAGTCTGAACTTGTCTTTTCAAGCTGGTTTATATTGGTTAACTGGGACTTTACCACCACAAACATCTTAACCAGCAAAACACAATAACCACGTATACTTCATGTTCATTTCCCATCAAAAAATTCATAGATTTGTACATTTAGTTAATGCTAACCATCCACATTTCCATTCAGACAAATGAACAATGTCACCAAATAGTCATATTGCGGGATTAACTTCAAATTCAATGCTTTCAAAAAAATAAAAAATAATAATATATATTAGTGCTATCAAAATTAGCGTGATAATGCAGGCGGTTAATATTTTCAGATTAATGCGTTAAAAATATTTAACACAATTAACACAAGGCCAGGGCTAGGGTTGGCCACCCCAATCACAACTGCACTTTTTCTTGACAAGAAGTGCATTTATTTAGTCGCAGAACATCTTTATGGCCACATCCAATGTTAGATGTTTCATATGCGCGCTCCAACTTCACTTCAGCGGCAGTAGACTGTATCATCTCATATCAAAGCGCGAATGAAACTACGTGCATGCAATGCCGTGGTCAGTTAAGTCATGAAGTTACCAAAAAGACGATTAAAGCTGCCTTAAAACTGTGCATGCATGTTATATGTTATATATGAATCACATTTAAAAACATGTCTCTGAAATGGTTTTCAAAACTGTCCTGGAGCAACCCAGATGCAATGCCGTGGTCAGTTAAGTCATGAAGTTACCAAAAAGACGATTAAAGCTGCCTTAAAACTGTGCATGCATGTTATATGTTATATTTTTTGTTCTGAATTCTTTGACTGCAAATATCCAGTAAATGCGTTACAAATATTTAACACAAGGCCAGGGCTGTTGAAATCAATTATATATTTAGAAATTAAGATCTTGAATAAATTCTACAATTACTGTATATATATTTATATATTCACACACACTTTGTCATGCTTACCTATATAAAATAGTATATATAATATACCATTATATATGTACATCACATATATTTTACAATATTTACAGGAATAATTTTTGCAACTTGTCAGAGTAGTTTTAATATGCAAACAATATATTAGAAGAGAATTTACATCTCGAAATGAATTTATGTCATCAGAAATGATTCATATTAAAGTTAGTCTTAGTTAAGCGAGAAAAACAGCTGCAAGTCACTCATTGTTTACCACCTCGTCAGTTATTACCATCCCAGCTGTCATATGTTATGTTTTTGTGCTCGTTTCTCCACCAGTCTTCTGTACTATTAAAAACATGTCTCTGAAATGGTTTTCAAAACTGTCCTGGAGCAACCCAGCACTCATCTACACACCCGATTCAACTCGTCAGCTCATTAGTAGAGACTTTAATGGTGCGTTCAAGTCATGTCAGATAGATCGTATTTACGAGTTGAACGCACATGATCGCCAGCACAAAGTCGTTGTTACGAGTGGGAAACTCGACATTTACTTTAAGCCCCGAATTTCCGAGTTGGGGGAGCGTGTCAGTGAGAAAACGTGTCGGATGCAATGGACGCGCCAAAGATTATGGAGCTTATAATATGACGAAACTATTTGAATTTGTATTGTATAAATTTGAATTATTGACAGTGGCATTTATCAAAACTGAATATTATGTGGTATTTAACATAGTTCTGAATTAGATTTTTTTTTTGCTTGAATATTGAACATTTGAAATTAAACACAACTGATTTTTTTTTTATAGCAGAGTTTTAGAATTTTTTGTTCTGAATTCTTTGACTGCAAATATCCAGTAAATGCGTTAAAAATATTTAACACAATTAACACAAGGCCAGGGCTGTTGAAATCAATTATATATTTAGAAATTAAGATCTTGAATAAATTCTACAATTACTGTATATATATTTATATATTCACACACACTTTGTCATGCTTACCTATATAAAATAGTATATATAATATACCATTATATATGTACATCACATATATTTTACAATATTTACAGGAATAATTTTTGCAACTTGTCAGAGTAGTTTTAATATGCAAACAATATATTAGAAGAGAATTTACATCTCGAAATGAATTTATGTCATCAGAAATGAAGAGACTTTAATGGTGCGTTCAAGTCATGTCAGATAGATCGTATTTACGAGTTGAACGCACATGATCGCCAGCACAAAGTCGTTGTTACGAGTGGGAAACTCGACATTTACTTTAAGCCCCGAATTTCCGAGTTGGGGGAGCGTGTCAGTGAGAAAACGTGTCGGATGCAATGGACGCGCCAAAGATTATGGAGCTTATAATATGACGAAACTATTTGAATTTGTATTGTATAAATTTGAATTATTGACAGTGGCATTTATCAAAACTGAATATTATGTGGTATTTAACATAGTTCTGAATTAGATTTTTTTTTTGCTTGAATATTGAACATTTGAAATTAAACACAACTGATTTTTTTTTTATAGCAGAGTTTTATAGACATGTATTTTCAAACAGCGAATTTTTTGTTCTGAATTCTTTGACTGCAAATATCCAGTAAATGCGTTAAAAATATTTAACACAATTAACACAAGGCCAGGGCTGTTGAAATCAATTATATATTTAGAAATTAAGATCTTGAATAAATTATACAATTACTGTATATATATATATATGTATATATTCACACACACTTTGTCATGCTTACCTATATAAAATATAGTATATATAATATACTATTATATGTGTACATCACATATATTTTACAATATTTACAGGAATCATTTTTGCAACTTCTCAGAGTAGTTTTAATATGCAAACAATATATTAGAAGAGAAGTTACATCTCGAAATGAATTTATGTCATCAGAAATGATTCATATTAAAGTTAGTCTTAGTTAAGCGAGAAAAACAGCTGCAAGTCACTCATTGTTTACCACCTCGTCAGTTATTACCATCCCAGCTGTCATATGTTATGTTTTTGTGCTCGTTTCTCCACCAGTCTTCTGTACTAGCTTAACCAGCAAGACTTGACTAGGTTGACCTGGTTATTATACACACGTAAGCAGCATAAACCAGCGTTTGTGACGCTCTGAGCTGGTGTTTTCATCAGGGATCCTTCGCATTACTGAGCGACGCCTGGTCTTTGTTCGTCTGTGTTTCTTCTAACTCTCCTGTACATCTGTGTGCGTGGACGCGTTTACGCCGATGATTAGCATGCAGACGTGCGCTAGCGTGCTCTTTCCGTGCCCTTAACCCTGACTTTCATCATCAGAGGAGCGGTTTGAGCGCAGACAGGGGCCGACTCGCCAACTTCTGTCCGCATCTGCTCGATCCTTTAAAAGGAAATGTCACAGAGATAGAGGGCGTCTCATTCGCGTCGTCCTTCGCTGATAAGCATTACCAAGAAAAACGAGTAATTTCAGCCTCTTTGAATTCTAACAGGAGGCGAATCACAGAGCGGCGAATAATGATTGTGCTGGAGAGACATTGTTAGGGGCTGTTTGATTCTCTTAAAGCTTCGTATCAGATGGATTCGACCCGTCATAGACTGACACCACACAAAGTTGTTTTGAAATAAGGACGTTACTCTGGGACATTTAAAGGGAATCAGACTGAAACGTGAATGTAAACACACTGCAGACGTGGTTTGCTGAAATACTGTTTGACAGTTAAATAATTTTCATTACAGGCCAGAGACAAAGTCGAGGAAAAAAACGTCATTTGGTCAAAAAAAAAGAGCTTAAAATAACAATAGCAACAGCTGATTGATTGATTAATAATTCAGTGTTTACCCAAAGATCAATAAAAAAAACTGAAGACCAGAAACATACTCTCATTGCTCAATAACACAAACATGCATTATTGAGCAATGCATTAAAAGCTTGTGTTCTTGTACTAAATATGTAATGTTTATTTCTGTGTTTATTTCTTACTTAACCTTTTTCTTTCTGTCAGGAAATACTGGTTCTTCAATTTTATTATATGTAATATTTGTATATATTTATATATTTAGCTTGTGGTTTTGTAGTACATATTTAATGTGCGTTTTACTAAATCTCTCAGAAATATTAAATATTAGTTAGTCCATAATATTCAATATATTATTTATTGTTTTGTGTATAGATAGATAGATAGATAGATAGATAATGTGTAATGTGTGTAAAAATGTGTATATATATATATTTTTGTTCAATATTTTGCAGTAATATTCAAAAATCAGGTCATAGCATTTTTGACTTTTCATCACTTATAACTTTAGTATACATTTATACATATTTATTTATTTAAATATTATTATTTATATGACATTATGTATTTATATTTTATTATATAATACAAATATTGTTTATTTAAATATTATTATTAAGTGCAAAAAGAAAAAAATGGAAAGAGCCACTTCACTTATTTTGATATCTCATGTGCATGTATTCAGACGTGTCAGTTTATAGTCACATATGCATTGGAATAAATTAGACAGAAAACACAATCAGAGCGGGCTGACTGGTCAAGACATCCATTCTAATAGTGTTGGAGTTTGAATACTGGACAACAGTGAGTCCAATTCAAACAAGCATCTGACTTCAGCTGTATAGAGAGAGAGACATGGAAACAAGTGTTAAATAATCATGTCTGGTATTGTTTCAGTTCCTCCGGTTCTGTCGGTGCCGCAGCAGTCCTTCAACGCCACCGCCGACTACCAGGAGTCAGTGACGTTCACCTGCATCACGTCTGGCTCCCCCGACCCCCAGGTGACCTGGTACTGGTGGGTAACAGTAATGTTTGTCCAGAGACACTCTGAATGTTGCTGCTTGGTCCAAAAGCTGAGTGACAAACCCTGAAGATGCAGCGATGTGTAGTGCAGTATGTAGGGCGCTGGACATCACAGCTAGTATGTAGGGCACAGTGTTCTTGATTCATCTATCCTGTCTGTATGCAAATGGTTACGGCTCTGTGGCGCCGGGCCGTGAAGAGCTGATGTGTGCTTTGATCAGACGTTCAAAGCCTTCCATGATAACTGAGGTGAGGGCCGGAAATGTTCAAAATCAGAGATCTTTCTATTGTGTGAGGGGGACATTGAGCGTGCCTGTGTAAAATGTTTGCTGGCTGACCTGCGTTGAGCCTTGCATTGCAGATTTTAACATTTTGTTTGTTGAGATCTTTGTGAAAGTCTATGAGTAGATGCTTTGTGAAGATTCAGACTCTGTTTCTTTTCCATATAGTCCCATTGCTGTCTGGAGACATAACGGCTGGGGCTGTCAAGCGATTAAAATGTTACATTAAAATTACTTGATGTGCTGATTAATTAATCGCAAATTAATCATGCATCAATTTTGAGAAATTACCCCCAAAAGTTCAGTTAATGTGTTAAATGAGAAAAGCATTGCAAAAACATTACAAAACGTAGCTTTATATAAACATAGCTTTCATAGAATTACATTGTCATGTTCATGTTTTCATGTCTTTTATTTTGTCATAAGTCATGGTTCCTGTTTAGTCATGTGGTTCCCTTATCCTCATGGTATCCTGCCAAGTGTATGTGTCATGTTCTGATTGGTTGTCTTGTTCATTTGTCTTGTTATCATTGGTTATTGTCCTGTCATGTGGTTCTCAGTACTGTTTGCTCATTGGTTGGTTTATGTCATATGACCCTTATTGTTTAGTATTTATTGCCCTAATTAGGGCTGTGCAATTAATCGCATGCGATTAATTGCACAGCCCTAGCCCTAATGTTGCCATTGTCTCTTGTCGAGTATTGTCCCTGTAACCTCTGTTGGTAAGTTCTTGTTTTTGTTTACGCAGAGTCTGTTCATGCCATGCCAAGTCAAGTCTTAGTTTATTGTTTGGTCACTTTTGGGATTTAATAGAATCTGCACTTGGGTTCTCACTACGCTTGCCTCCAGTGGACTCCTTACATACATGCAATTTTTAATATATATATTTACATTGAGATTAAATTGATATTTAATTCATGACTTGTAATTTGCAATATAGATCAGAAATGAGTTTTAATTGGTGTTTAAAAATGTTATATTTAAATATGAAATGATTTTTAAGAAATGAAAGCTCTCAATATTAAAAATAAATTAAATACACTCAATATTAAACTAAAACCACCAGTAGGTGGCGACAAATCACTGTCTTAATGAGTGAGTCATTGAATCATTCATTCAACCGATTCATTCAGTGACTGAATCACTGAGTCACTCGATTTGTTCAAAAGCATGTATTCATTCCGTAATGTCATGTCGTTCAGAAAGGCACAACAGTTTTGTCAAATTTTTATTTGCAAAATTGAGCAATACAGCCAATATTGACACAATAAAAATGTAACACTTTTATTGAACTTTTGTATAAAATCAATGGTGCAGATATTGAAGAAAAGCAGCACTCTTGCTGGTGTGATATTGCTAAACTATATAATATGATATAAATAAAAAAGGGGCATTTTTTGCCCTTATATCTTGATTTTAGGATCATATAACTGCATTCTACTGCATTCACACAGTCAGTCATCCTGCATCAGCAACTGCGTCAGTGTAAGATGACAGACAGGTCTGAGCCAAATGATTGTGTTAAATTAACAGCCATAATAAAGACTTTTGTGTTTCTCACGGATGGGATTGAATCAGGGTGAACGAGAAGGTCTGGAGGTCTTTAGCGGGAGTGAAGTTAAAACGTCTGAAACCATCAGTCTGAATATTACAAGCACAAAGTGCAGCACAATTAGTTTTCACCGATTTATGATTGGCACGATAGTTTTCTAAATTGCTGAAATTAAAGTGCATTAAATCTGAGGTATTTTTACCGAACAAAGTTCTCTTTAATTCACTCAAACTACAAAATTACAGTTATTAACAACAGAGATGTTAAAGTGTGTTATATGAGTCATGTCACATACTGCAAGTTTGCTGCTAAGATACTGTGTAGATTTACAAATTAATATTTTAAATGCTGTTCAATTTAACAGACATTATTGTTAATTTGATTAGTAAGCATCAAGAAATTATGCTATTATCCAGTTCTATAGTATTTACTCCACAATAAAGATTAAAAAAGGCATTTTCTTATGAATACATGCATTATCTCTCTTTTTTGTTTCCTCAAATCCATATTTTCATTAAATTTTGTCATCATTTACTTGCCCTCATGTCGATTTATGACATTTGCATCTGTGCAACACAAAAGGAGGTGTTGAGCAGATGTTCTCTTCATTTTCACTGAATAATGACTCTGAGTAAATCATGACAGAATTGTCATTTTCGATATTGCATATCATTCCTCTGAACTCTTTGCTCAGTGTTTCATTGAGTCTCTGCACTTTACGACTGCTTCGTTAGCTTGTTAAAGTCTAATTGGGTCCGTGTTCCTTTGTTTTTCCTGATGGCCCAGCGGTTAATTGTGTCTCTGAACAGAGACCTGCGCTCACTTCCCTTAATTGTGGCCTTGTTATTGTGATTGAATCGTTAGCTATGTGAGTCTTCATTTCTATAGTTAGTGTTCTTTTGTCTCTGCACTTTTTGTAGCTTAAACTCAGAAACTCTTAGTTTAACTAACAAGCAGGGTTATTTTAATTAATTATTTTGTTCAGCAAGGATACATTGAATGATAGATTGCATAGCGTGATAGAAGACTAGTTAGGTAGGCAGGAGCTAAACCATTTAGGGCCTTATTAGTAAGTAGTAATATTTTGTAACTGATACGGAACTTAATAGGTCCCCAGTGTAGAGATTGTAAAATTGGGGTAATATGATCATATTTTCTTGACCTGGTAAGGACTCTAGCCGCTGAATTTTGGACCACCTGTAGCTTGTTTATTGAAGATGCAGGACAACCCCCTAGCAGTGCATTACAATAGTCCAGTCTAGAGGTCATGAATGCATGAACTAGCTTTTCTGCATCAGAAACAGGTAACATACTTCGTAACTTGGCAATGTTTCTAAGATAGAAGAATGCTGTTTTTGTAACATGGGAAATATGATTTTCAAAAGACAAGTTCCTATCTAATATAACACCCAGATTTTTGACAACAGTACAGCCGTCTAGTTGCAAATTGTAATCCACAAGATTCTGTGTACTGTCTTTTGGTCCAATAAGTAATATCACTGTCTTATCCGAATTTAATAGGAGAAAATTATTGGTCATCCAATCTTTTACATTTTTAACACACTCTGTTAGCTTAGATAATTTAGAAGTTTCATCTGGTCTTGTTGAGATATATAGTTGAGTATCATCAGCATAACAATGGAAACTAATCCCGTATTTTCTAATAATATTACCAAGGGGCAACATGTATATCGAAAATAGCAGAGGACCTAGGACAGATCCTTGTGGCACTCCATATTTTACTGGTGATAATTGAGACGACTCCCCATTTAAATGAACAAGGTGGTAGCGATCGGACAGGTAGGATCTAAACCATCTTAAAGCCTGCCCTTGAATACCTGTATAGTTTTGTAATCGATCTATGAGTATGTCATGATCTATAGTGTCGAACGCAGCACTAAGATCAAGTAAAACTAGCAATGAGATACAGCCTTGGTCTGACGCAAGAAGCAAGTCATTTGTAATTTTAACAAGTGCAGTTTCTGTGCTATGGTGGGGCCTGAAACCTGACTGAAATTCTTCATAGAGATCATTTTTTTGCAGGAAGGAGCACAATTGAGCAGACACAACTTTTTCTAAAATTTTAGACATAAAAGGAAGATTTGAGATGGGTCTGTAATTTGCCAGTTCACTAGGATCTAGTTGTGGTTTCTTAATAAGAGGCTTAATAACCGCCAGCTTGAATGGTTTTGGGACGTGACCTAAAGACAACGACGAGTTAATAATATTGAGAAGCGGTTCTTCTGCTACAGGTAACAACTCTTTCAGTAATTTAGTGGGTACAGGATCTAACAGGCATGTTGTTGGTTTAGATGCAGTGATAAGTTTATTTAGCTCTTCCTGTCCTATAATTGTAAAGCACTGCAGTTTATCTTTTGGTTTATTTAGTTTATTGAAGATGCATGACAACCACCGTGCATTACAATACAATAGTCCAGTCTTGAGGTCATAAATGCATAGCTTTTCTGCATCAGAAACAGGCAACATGTTTCGTAGCTTGGCAGTGTTTCTAAAATGGAAGAATGTTGTTTTGTAACATGAAATGTTCTGCTGTGTAACATATCACCCACATTTTTGACTGCAGAGGAAATAACAGTACATCCATCTAGATGCAAACTGTAGACTAAGAGATTCTGTGTACTGTTTGTTGGTCCAATAAGTAATATCTCTGTCTTAACCGAATTTAAGAAAATTATAGTGGTCATCTAATATTTTACATTTTTACATTTCACGCTCTGTTAGCTTAGATAATTTAGGTCTTGTTGAAATATATAGTTGAGTATCATCAGCATAACAATGGTAACTAATCCCATATTTTCTAGTAATATTACCAAGGGGCAACATGTATAATGAAAATTGCAGCGGGCCTAAGACAGATCCTTGTGGCACTCCATACTTTACAGGTGTTAATTGCATTGATTCCCCAGTTTCCAGAAAAAAATATTGGGCAGCACAACTGTTTTCAACATTGGTAATAATCAGAAATTTTTCTTGAGCAGCAAATCAGCATATTAGGATTATTTCTGAAGGATCATGTGACACTGAAGACTGGAGTAATAATGCTGAAAAATCAGCTTTGATCACAGGAATAAATTACATTTTAACATATATTCACATAGAAAACAGCTGTTTTAAATTGTAATAATGTTGAACAATTTTTTACTGTATTTTAATCAAATAATGCAGCCTTGGTGAGCAGAAGAGACTTCTTGTCTTGATCACATGGTCACAACGTGTTATATTGGACATATTTATATTTATCATATATATTTATTATTTTCATCTTAATAAGCTAAAATACAACATATGTTTTTTTAAGTTATGTTGTCATCATAAAATTAACTAATCCCATATTTTCTAGTAATATTACCAAGGGGCAACATGTATAATGAAAATTGCAGAGGGCCTAAGACAGATCCTTGTGGCACTCCATACTTTACAGGTGTTAATTGCATTGATTCCCCAGTTTCCAGAAAAAAATATTGGGCAGCACAACTGTTTTCAACATTGGTAATAATCAGAAATTTTTCTTGAGCAGCAAATCAGCATATTAGGATTATTTCTGAAGGATCATGTGACACTGAAGACTGGAGTAATAATGCTGAAAAATCAGCTTTGATCACAGGAATAAATTACATTTTAACATATATTCACATAGAAAACAGCTGTTTTAAATTGTAATAATGTTGAACAATTTTTTACTGTATTTTAATCAAATAATGCAGCCTTGGTGAGCAGAAGAGACTTCTTGTCTTGATCACATGGTCACAACATGTGTTATATTGGACATATTTATATTTATCATATATATTTATTATTTTCATTTTAATAAGCTAAAATACAACATATGTTTTTTAAGTTATGTTGTCATCATAAAATTACTCTTTATCATTATACAAGATGTTTGTTTTTCCCTTAAGAGTCTGTATGCAGTCATGTAGAATTTGCTAATTAATTACCTCGTGGATAGATGGATGTTTTTCCTCCAAATTAATTTACACACCCTAATTGAAATGGGAAGAGATTCATATTCTATAGGCTGTTAACTCAATTACTGATGTGTTCTCAGCTGCAGTCATTCATCTCATCTGATGGTTTGTGTCCACAGGAAGGGTCACGTGATCGAGCGATCGGAGCAGTACGTGCTTAACACACTGGACGGGGGCAAAAGCACGCTGACCATCAAAAACATCCGGCAGGGCGACGGTGGGCCGTACACATGCCGCGCGAGCAACAAGGCCGGGAGCTCCGAGAGCCAGCTCTTCCTCAAAGTGTTCGGTGAGGAAACGTTTGCATCTTTTGTACGTTGATTGATTTTTATAAGGTGCTTTGTTGTGGCGTCTCAGAGGAAGTCTTTCCTCATGATGGCGGTACAGACGATTCTTCTTTTCGTTTTCCATTTAGTTGCTTTCCACTCAGATTCTCTTGAAGAAAATGAAGCGATGCATCTTCGGACGCGCCGGTGGCGCAGTAAATGTGCCGCTATCTCGAATTTCATTTCAGAGAAATGAAAGACTGTTCAATTATCATGAAAAACTCCAGCAGGTTCTTTATGGGACCCACATTCAATTTCTGTTTTCATGAAGCTGCTGTGCATATCCACAAACTGATTATTCTGACTGGACCTCCTGTCTGTCGTATGGAAATGTATGGAGATTTATTCTCCGCCATCACGATCCTCCAGACGCATGTTTATATGGCGCTCGTATTGGACGGGAGTTTTGTTCTGTAAAACGTGGAGCGGGAACACGACTGTAACTTTGTGACATTTATAGCGCGTGACGTTCACTAATAGGAGAGATGAGAAACAAAAACCAGATAACAAAACAGGATAAAGATGTGAGGCACTGCTAGATATTAGTGCTTTACTCCTCAAAAACCTGATTAAAACACAGCTCCTTTGTGGAAAAAAAATATTTAGGGAATCCTCCGATGGAAATAAAAATATATAAATTAAAATATAGAATAACTTTAATATATATAAAAAAATAGACAGTTTGTTAACAGATATTCAGCAATATAGTCAGTTTATAAATACTGGTATATATTAAATTGTAATTATATGATATAATTAATAATTGTATTGCATTATTATTATTATTAATAATAATAATAATAATTACATATAATTAATAATAATACAAATAATAATCAATATGTTTTTTTGACTTTATTATTTTTGTTATTTTTAAATATTACAATTTAGGTTTAATACATTTTTTATTAAAAAAATAAGTTTTACTTTTATTGTTTATTATTTTATTATTATTATTATTATTATTATTAATAATAATTACATATAATTAATAATAATACAAATAATAATCAATATGTTTTTTTGACTTTATTATTTTTGTTATTTTTAAATATTACAATTTAGGTTTAATAATTTTTTTATTTAAAAAATAAGTTTTACTTTTATTGTTTATTATTTTATTATTATTATTATTATTTTACCATTTTCAGTAATTGTAGCGCTTCAACTTAAACTTATTTCAATCAGTTGTCAAGGCAATATTTCTGTTTATTAATTGATATTTTATTTTATTTCAATTAACGAATGTTTATTGTTTACTTCGATCAACAATAATAGTTTTAATATTTTTATTTCTAATAATAGTTTATTTCTTGTGAATATACTGCTTTGAATTTTGAATTTATTGGTATTCATGATTAAAGCCAGTCAAAAATAATTGATTTAAAACTGAAATGATTAAATACCAAAACTTTTTCTATGCTACTTTTTATTGGACATCCAAAGGCTGCCTATTGAAAACTTACAAACTTCTAGTTAAGCCTTGTATTAAGAGCAAATAGTGCAAGCAATCTGGGGCGCGTTTCCCAAACACATCTGTGGTCACAAGTTCCATCGTTACCAATAGAGTTGAATGAAATTTGTTACTGTAGTTATCTAGCAAAGCTTTTGGGAGTTAGTAGTAGAATTAGGGTTAAGCGTCTGCTCTTGACAGTAATGAGAGCGGTTTTCTGTGGCTGGTTTTGAGGTTCATACGGTGCTCTGTGTTTGGTGTGAGAGTGATCTGCTGACCTCGCTGTCATTACGGTCCTCGTGTTTACAGCATGTCGTCTGTCGTCTGAACGCCGTCGCCGCTCTCAGGAGAGCATGTTGAGAAGAAGAGCACGACATACGAGCATCAGTTCACTGTCAACAGCTGTGGTTTACAGCCACTGACAGGAGCTTCACAGTCATTCATTCTGCTGCGCCTGCAGAAAGTGCATCATTATCACAAAATATGGGAACCCAGAAAATGGGTTGATTTATGCTAGTTACAGGAATACTAGCTTATTTTTACATCGTGCATAGGTTAATATTTTCATATTAACTTAAAACCTGTCAAATTTTGTAAAATACACTACACAACCACTGCATTTGCACAATACATCCATTTTAAATAAATTATTTTAGCCTAATTCAAGAAAAAATCATTCAAATTTCAGTGTAGTATATACACACAAACCGGAAATACGAAAAAAATAATCATTATATATAATAAATGTGAAAATAATAACCGTTCAGGCAACTATTTATGGGCAATAAATAAACACCAACGCCAGGGTTATTATCATTAACTAAAAAAAAATAAATAAATTGTTAATTAAAATAAAAATAAGTTAAAGCTAAATAGTAATGTTTAAAAAGAGCAAAAACAACAAAAGTCAAAACCACATAACAAAATGACTAAAAATGAAATTAAGATGAAAAGTGAAAATATAAACTTTTAAATGAATTAATAATTATAATAAATTATAATGTATAATAGTAAATAAATAATAAAATTAAATATCACGGACTAATACACATCCTGATCAAAAATTACAGTTTATTTATATTGAATAGTATTTAATCATATTCAATACAATTATTTTCATGACATTATATAATTCTAAATTAATACATTTTTTGTGTTTATAAACTGACTGTAATGCTTAAATTGTCAACAAACGATTAAAGTGTAATCAACCGTTGTCCATTTTCCACCAAAATAATGTTCTTGAATGATGCCACAGTGGTTCTAATTGGTTGCTAGGGTGTAATTTAGCAGTTGCTAGGGTGTTGTGTGTGGTTATGCCGTTCAGAACACCTTAGCAACACTCTGGCATCCTCTTTTGCAGAGTTTCTTCCGTGCAAAGGTCACTGTGTTTTGAACAGCAATACATCGCTGAAGTTTCCTGGAGTGTTTCCCGGCTCGCGGTGTTTGTCTTTGCTGGAGTGTGTGTATGTAGCAGACGCATGCTTTCGCTCTCCGCAGCCTCTGAGCGTTTCTGCTGCGTCACCCGCTACAAATAACTCCTTGATCTCTGCAGACACTGTTCAAGGGCCCGTGCTGTGAAGAGCTGTTTCTGCTGGCTTTCATTTACTCCAGCATGGACTTATTCAGCGGCGCTCGGTGCGAGAGCATCAACGGCTCTTATGCATGAAACTTGTTTGCCCTCGAATCTGCTGGTGTTTAAGGCAAAACCAAGAAAGATACATAGAGCAGCTTATCTGTAAGACACACACACACAGACTTCTAACAGGGTTTATCGGTGAGTTCAGCATTAAACAAGGCCTTCCTGATGTGAACGTGTGCCACTAAAACGCTCCGGCTAAAGGGAGTTCACGCGGGAGAAGACATTGCACCTACAGGAAAGACATTCAGAACATAAAGACATTTTCAAAAGATTTTTATTAAAGAAAATTAAGAATTGGAAAAAAAAAAAAAAAAAGATTGCATAAAGTAAGTAAATCAAGATTTTTGTATAATTAAAAATTAAGGGGGAAAAAAAAGGTTTTTATTATTAGAAATGTAAAAAAAAAAAAAATGCATAAAGAAAGGTTTTTGTCATTATAAATGAGGGGGGGGTTTTGCCTAGCAAAAATAAAGGATTTTAATTATAAATTAAACAAACAAAAAAAATTTGGGATAAAGCAATGAAAGGTTTTTATTATTGTAAAAAGCATAAATAATTTTTACTATAATAAATTGGGGGGGAAATTTTTCATAAAGAAAATTATTATTATTATTATTAGTATTATACAAAAATATATTTTGCATGAGGTAACTTTTATTACTAATTTTTTTTTTTGTCATTAGTCTTTAGAAATTCTGTTCAGTTCTTTGCAATTCTCGATAATTGCAACAATTGTTATTACATTTGCATTAATGCAGTCTTTTTTTTTTTTTTTTTACTTTATCACTAGACAGACAGATAAATTTACACTAGTACCAAAAGTGTAAATCTTTTCTGTTTCTGACATGGTTTGCACATGACAATTGCAGCATTCAGCTACAAAAGGAGATGTGAAATAAATGAATCATAAATATAATTTATTGTGATGCTTAATTGTGCTAAAAAAAAAATTTAAAAATGAAAACAGACGTAATTTGTATAATTTCTCAATTTGCTCACCTTGCTCTCTCTCTCTCTCTCTCTATATATATATATAAAATATATAATTTTAATTTGCTCTTATTTGTTTCTAAAATGAGAATGAGAAACCAAGTCTGTTTAAGTGTAAGTGTGATGTCCTTTATCAGACAGAACATTGTATTTAGTGCAAAATGAGGTGTAATTCAAAGCAGTTACTCTAAAATAAACTCACAGAAACGTCTGCAGTGACTCAAAGCCGTTCGCTCGTCTGTCTGTCTGTCTGTTCAGTCCAGCCGCACATCACTCAGCTGAGGAACGTGACGGCTGTGGAGGGAAGCGCTGCTATGATCTCCTGCACAGCGGAGGGAGAACCGCTGCCCGAGATCTCGTGGAGGAGAGCCAGTGACGGACAGACGTTCACAGATGGAGATAAGGTGAATAACACACAGATCTGATGCAACTCACCCAAAACTGAAGATCTCTCATCATTCACTCAGGTTTGAAACAACATTAGAGTGAGTAAATAATGGCAGAGTTTTAGTTTTTAGCTGAACTAGCCCTTTAAAGGGATAAGATTTTACTTTTTTCTTCAGTAGTAAAGAGTAAACAGTAAAGATAATTTTTAGCTGAAAGTGTGCTCCTTGTTGATTCATAAAATGCAAATCAATGGCTACCGACACTTTGAGAGACAAAAAAGCAAATACAGGCATCACAAAATGAATCCCAGTGACTCCTGATGATATGTTGAGGTCTTATGAAGTGAAACAATCGGTCTGTGCAATAAACTGAACATTAATTACAACATTATTACCTGTAATCCAGAGCCTCAGGCAAACGGTTCAGTTCTTGAACGAATCATTCTTTTGAACCAGTTCATCAAATCAGACTGAATCATCTGAACCAGTTCGCATCTCGAGCAGCACAGATCTACAAGTTACTCAATCAAACTCACTTTCAGACGCCTGACAGTCACTGCGACTGGAAATGAGCTGAAATAGCGGCGTATCTGATTCTGTGATGAATGAATTGATTCAATGCTTCAGTTCCTCCAGCAGTCACTGAACTGAGGAAGCAGTTCGACTCGGATGAGCCGCTGATATGAGCATGAGTGAACCCAACACTTGAACGAAGGGACAAATTAACGTATTTATGGTTTCTCATTGTTTATGGAAAAAGTTGAGCTGATGAAGGCTAGTTTATTCACTTTATATGCTTTAGACTTCATTATCTGTGCTAATATAATTGCAAATATGTTACATCATTGTGTGATTGCGTAAACAAACTAGTGAACTTAACCAGTTAATTAAAACCAACTTTCTGAAAGAATCAGTTCACAGAAATTTTTTCTGTTTGTCTGAGGCTCTGGATTACAGGTAATAATGTTGTAAATAATAATCAGTTTATTGCACAGACTGATTGTTTCACTTCATAAGATCTCAATATATCATCAGGAGCCACGGGAATTAATTTTATGTTGCCTGTATATATATTTTTTTTTTGGACTCTCAAAGTGCCGGTAGCCATTGACTTGCATTTATGAATCACCAGTGATCACGGTTTCAAAAATCTAAAAGATAAAAATCTTCTTTACTGTTCAACTGAAGAGAAAAATTTGCCTACATCTTGTATAGTTGGCTTGAGGGTGAGGTAATTAA